CTGACACTTTTCTGGTATGATTGTTTTCTATTAAGAATCATAACTTTCTCACCTTTGAATTTTGATGCCCCTACAAAGTCAAATTCTGATTTCAGTTTCAAGTAAGAGAGTTGACAGGCATTTATTCGACGGAATCCTGGATGGTATCTTCCCTTAGGTCTACTTGTTACCCGTAAAACACGCATAACGTTCATCTCTTAGTAGCCCAAAATTTTACTGAAGTGCCATCCTACTGATACTGATACTGAATCACAGTGGATAGAAATATAATTAATCATATCGAAAGCAAGGTGTATTTACATGTGACAGACGTTTGTGGCGGGTTGCATACAATTCGCGTTCAAAGTTTCTTCTACGAGCAGCATCAACAGTACCACGAGAACTGAGCAATCAGCGCTCGTAGGAGCATGGCGCTGATTGGCCCAACGCATCCTCTGCGGGCAGCATTTGCATTGAACGAATAAATGAATAAATGAATGAATGAATGAATGCAGTGGCGGCGGAAGCAGGGGGGCAAGGGGGGCAGCTGCACCCTAAAGCTATGAAAAGGGGCGCCTCGAAAATCTGTAGAGAAGGCAGGAAGTTAAGAGGTGCGGCAGCCATAAAGCTGAGCAGTGCGACACCGCAACTGATAAAGGCACCTGTGACACGAAGAGGGTGGCAATGACGTGGGAAAAGTATCTTTTGATATGCTGAAGAGTGGAGGGCATCCTTATCTGACTTACCTGAAACAAAGGCAGATGCTGCCGACCCTGTCGAATATAATCTTGCCAGGCGATAAAGGCTAGGAGGGCGCAGCCACTCAAGAAGCGCGCCATGCGGAAGAGGGGCGCCAGCATGCGAAAGAGGGGCGCCTGTGTGTGGGACGAAAAAGAAACATTTATGGAGACGTCTTTGAAGGCGATAGCCTGCGAACGCCAACACGAACATATGAGAGCTTATAGCGCTGCAGGCTCCATGCGACAAAAAGGCAGAACTCGGCCTGATGGCCGATATGCGAGAGGAAATTAGTTTGTGTAACATTTATTGGGGGCGGTTTGCCGTTTACAACATATGAATGTTAAGGGAGGTCCGAGATTGGGGCCTGTAAAATTGCACTGTCCGTATGGGCGGTTACACCCCTAGTGCTAGGGCGTATTTTGCGTTTTTTTTTTACTGGGGAGATGATTATGACCAGGAATAGCACTCTGCAAACTTCTATGGGCGCCTGTATAGGGGCGAAACTGATTTTCCAGTGCAGGGACGGCCATCGGCATTGTGGGGCGGCATTCATTCCACTGGGGCGTCTGCCAGTGTTGAAGGGCGGTATTCATTTCAATGGGGCGCCCGTTGGTGTTGAAGGGCGACATGTATCACCTGGGGCGCCTATCGGAGATTGGGGCGGCATTAATTTCACTGAGGCGCCTATCGGCGTTGACGGGTGGTATTTATTCATCCGGGGCGCTTATCGGTGGTATAGGCCGGCATTCGCTTCACTGAGGTGCCTATCGTTGTTTTAACCCTCGCCCATGTAGGGGGGGGGGGTTGGTGCAACCCCCCCCCTGAGGTTTTTCTTAGCTACACGCCGAACCGTTTCAGATAGCTTGCTCAAATTTTCAGTACCCTTTGGGGCATCCTTTGCGCAACTTTTGGTATTTTTTTGTCAAGGTCATGTCAGGTCACGGAGTTATGACGTCATAAAGGGAACAACCTCCGGCCAGATTTACGCTAAATTGGAGATTGCTTCACATTGGTATAAATGCCGATTGACCTGACACACTAATGGATTGTTTTAGAATCACAACTGGCTGATTTGACATTGGCACAATGTCCGTTGACATTTTGAAGGTTACTAAAGGTCAAGGTAAGGTCAGTGACCTCGGTTGACCTGTAATGACTTCTTGCACTTGTATGCCTTTTCGGGGTATTTTGATGCCCTGAATTCGAATTTGCTGTCCATTTCAGGCATCGTCGATTGTTCCTTGTAGTTCATTTTGGGTCAGGGTCAGGTCAGTGACGTCACACGCCTGACGTGACCCAATGCACAAATGACCTTGCAGACTTCCGATGCTCCCAACGCATCATTTTTAGAGTTATGACATCGAAATACACACCAAAAGATAGAGAATTAATCAAGGATCACGATAGTGAAGGTTTTAAGTCGATATCTCTTACCGTTTTGCCGCAATCGGCGCGGAAATCTGAAAAAGTTAGATTTTTCCGAAAATTTGACCTGTGACCGGTCATAAGTAGGTCAAATGTTGACCTAGGACCAAAAAATATACCACCAATCGCGAGATCTCGTTGAGAGCAATCCGTTGGTCTTTTCCGCTAAGCTCTACGACGCTCCGTTTTCAAACGCCAGGGGGGGTCGCACCAACCCCCCCCCCCTGCATGGGCGAAGGTGGCAAAACACCGTTTACGGGCGAGGGTTAAGGCGGCAGTAAATCCACTGGTGTCTGGGGCGTCTACCGGCGTCGAAAGGCGACATTCATAATTCATTTCACTGGGAGGCATATTGGTGTTGATGTGTAACATTCATTCTCCTGGGGCGCCCGGCAATGGTAAGGGGCGCCCAGCGGGAAGGGGCGCTTCAATATCGTTTGCACCCCTATCCTAGAATACCTTCCGCCGCCACTGAATGAATGAATTATATCTATGGGATGAATGAGTGAGCGAATGAATGAGTGAATAAATGAACGAGACCGAGATGCAAGTTCTTGGTAACCAAAACATGCACACTGACATAACCAAGCTAACCTAGCCCAGCCTATTTCTAGCCTTAGGGCCTGTTCCAGCGCCTCCAGTAGAAATTCTTGACTGGAGGCTCTACCAGAAGTTTTACTGGAGTCGCTGGAACGCAATCTGGAGATTTCAGGGCCCTGTTCATGAACCCCGGCGGTCGCTGCGGCCGCTGCGGTCGCTGCGGCCAGCCGGGTTGTTACGTCACAAAAAGGGGCGGGGCTCATGTAGTATGACGAATGTATGACGTCATCTTGCTGCGGCCGCTGCGATCTCTGCGGCCGCAATCCAGCGACCGCCGAGCCTCAAGAAAACTAATTGCACTGAACTTGGCGCACTGAAGTCAAATAGGCGCAGGCCGTGTTGTCATGGAGACGATTTTGTAAACAAATTATCTACCGGTGTGCTTCAGTTGTAAACAATTGTCGGAAACTATTTCGGCAGCAGACGCTGTTCATGGAACGCTGCTGCGGCCGAGTGAGTGATGACGTTTCAAAAAATGGGCGGAGCTTAGAGCCTGCGGCTGGCCGCAGCGGCCGCAGACTTCATGAACAGGGCCCTGGAGATTGGTGTCACGGAATGAATATGGTACACTCTTGCAAAACAAAATTTGTGTTTAATTTTAGTAAGAAAGATTTACAAAATTATAATAATCTAATTTTCTTTACATTCAAATTGTAAAATTACCAGTCAAAAGCCATTTGTTTACAATCATAATTGTCACATGTGCGCCATAATTGTAGACCAGAGCCTCCAGAGAAATTGGGACCTCTCAACTCTCTGGAGGCTACTGGAGGTTTCTGGAGCTTTGGCGAGAGCTTTCTGGAGCTTTCTGGAGGCGCTGGAACGCTCTCTGGAGGATTCTAGAGCTTTCTGGAGGTTTCTGGAGGTTTCTGGAGGCGCTGGAACAGGCCCTTAGTCTAGCCTGGACCTTACTTGTTTGAACTTAGAAGCGAGACGTATCATTTCAATGAATAGGAATTGAAAATGATTGTCTGAATTTGGCATTTCAGCGAACAAGTTTCTGGCGGTATTAAAGAAGTACAGGCACTGCTATGGTACAGGGTGACACAAAAAAAGCGGTCATCACCAAAATTCCAATAACTTCGGAAATTTTATTCAGATCATCACCAAACTTCGGCCACTTTAGGTCACACCTATGTAGCAGACATCCACCAAGTTTCAAGTCTTCACTACGAATACTTTTAGTACAGTGTGTGTTTTACGGACGCTCCACAATGTGCTCCGGGTGAGCGCCCCGGCGCTGCAGGGCGTAGGCACACCTGCATCCGGCGGGCAAAGTTGCCGATAACCCGATAATAATAACGTTTCAGGGGTAGCACACCCATGAGCACTGTCTCCAGAGGCCATTGCACTCTGTAAAGTGCACAGCCATCGGGTTATCGACAACTTTGCCCGCCGGATGCAAGTGTGCCTACGCCCTGCAGCGCCGTGGCGCTCACCTGGAGCACATTATGGAGCGTCAGTAAAACACACACTGTACTAAAAGTATTCGTAGTGAAGACTTGAAACTTGGTGGATGTATGCTACATAGGTGTGACCTTAAGTGGCCGAAGTTTGGTGCTGATCTGAATAAAACTTCCGAAGTTATTCGAAATTTGGTGATGACCGTTTTTTTTTGTGTCACCCTGTACTATGTTGTTCGGTACAGCTTGAATTGTGACGTCTTGTATATGATTGTGAGTGTTTTTTTTCTTTTTTAACAAACGCCCGAAAAATTTAATTACGGAATAAATCGTTCCCCAATGAAATTCATGCCAGCGTGATCGCTTGCCCGCGTCAGGCCCGCGTGCACCGCGAAAACCCAAACACGCCCGCCGCGCCAGCAGCCGGCCTGTGGGGCTCGTCACGTCCGGCGGCAGAGGCGGCAGCTGGCGGGCCGGGTTTGTTTACACGGGCACGTTCCGGGTCGGTCCCAGCCTCCGCTCCCGGATCCCACGGGGGGGGGGGGGGGCTCCGGAGCGGGTCACAGGCACGCGGAGCTCGCTGCCGACCCAGCGGAGCGCGGAGAACGCCATTGGGGGCAGCCCACGGATAGAGGGTATGGTATGGCAGCTGATGTCCCGGGGGTAGTCCGTACATTGGCGGCACGACTCGGTGTCCCAGCGCACTGACGTCACGAACAACACCCTCTTATCAAATTTTCAGCGTCGATTCGCAACTCTCAGTACCAGATTTCAACAACCACCCTATGTCCAGGGAAATGTAACCAATTACCTACCTAGTTCCACACGGCGATCCTTTCGGAAAGATGTCCCTTTTTCATATAAACTTTATTTGCTCAAGTCAAACGGTATAAACACTCTGGCGGTAATAGTACGTTGTGAGGACTCGATTGCCCACGCAAGACACACTAAACAGTAGACCAAGTTGAACATAAGCATTCACAGCAGCACATGCATGTTAAGAACAGCCATTTAAGTATTTTTCGCGCTAGGAAATCGAACAGTGCTGGCTAACGCTAAAAGCCCCCTACGCAACGACTAGCAGTTGAGAACCTGATTCACATGTGATAAACGCTTCTCACTCTACGCACCAATAGTAACACGAATCAGTTGAAAAAATAAGCAAGTAAACATGCATATTTCATAAGCTCAATATTAACCTGTGCGGCATCTGCAGATGTCTAAAACTCGTCGTGTTTGTAAAGAGCCTCGCCGAACTCGGTGGCCTGTGAGCCGACGAACACGTCGTACTTGTTGAGCACCTCCTCCTTGGTCAGCTCGCCGTTCTGGTCCGTGTCCGACTCGAGAATCAGGTGTTTGGCCTCGGCCAGCGAGTGGTCGTAATCAGGAGGGATGATCCACGCCGATATCTGAGCACAGCAGAGCGCGACGTTACCATAAATAAAAACAGACTATTACTGTGGCCGATGTCTTGCCTTTTTAACAAAGTTTCTTCGTTTGTTTGTTAATTGGGGCTTTAGGGCGCGCCGACTAACAAATTTTCTTTTGAAATTTATAAAAATAATAAATCATAAATGAAAGAACACATCTCTCAATCCGCTTTACAACGAATCGGCTTTGTTACAGAGCGATCACGGTGTAGTTATCTCGAATGTCAGATATTTTTACACATCAATATTTGATGTTTGACGACACCAGCAATGTACTTACGGATGACTTTAACTATGCATGCAATGCGAGGCATATTATATCAAACACGACGTCACCAATGATGTAACACTCTGAGACTGGCATACCTCTTCCTTGTCGAGGTATCCGTTTCCGTCCTTGTCGCGGTAGTTTTTGAACTGCTCGCGCTCCTTCTGTACCCACTCTGGCTCCTCCCCGCCCCCCGCGGCGTCGAACATATCGCCTGCACACAGTCCACACAGTCAGTAATTGAGTACCTACACAAAAACAGAGAAGTCACAAAATATCCGGACCGTTAGGAAGAGACGGGCTAAGTTAATGTTAATGCCATCAGAATCGTTGTGTACAAACGTGCGGCGACCTTTTCCCGAGACATAGTGCGACCTTTCGGAGTAACTTACTTACGAAGATGAGAGCAAACCCTTCAGGCACTTTTTCCTACGGAATATAAATGCTGTTGGAAAACAATAAGTACAGTTCTCACCGATGTACTCGTCCTCTGTGATTCTCCCGTCCTTGTTCTTGTCGATGTCCTCCATGGTTTCAATAACGACTATCTCTTTCATGTGGTCTACCTCTTCGGGATGAAGAAAGTGAGCGAACTCCTCGCGCGACAGATTGCCATCGCCGTCCTGGTGACAGCAATCCACTCATCAATGCTTGCAGGCCAGTGTCATTTATCCGTCTAGCAGTGCTTTCGTTGATTCCTAATCAACTATGAAATAAAAAAAGAATAATAATTATGGGTAAGTAGAACGCAGATACGTTTAATTTCACGGAGCTTTGCTCCGCACCCGTTACATTATCATATTTCATATTTTGCATCTTTAGATTCAAAAAAAAATTGTCCACTTTAAGGGGGAACCTACATACATTTCGAGTGAACTACCGACAGGCGACAATAGTAAACTTCGAAATCCACATTCTGCAATCAGATCCATTTAGCATCCGCCCCCATGTAGCCGAGCCGTAATCGGGCATAAGTGGGCAGTGGGCACCGTCCCACATAATTGCAGCTTCGTTACTCGTTCCTCCCTTCCAGCAAAACATGACTTTCGTCAGTCGTTCTCCATTTATTTGCGTAAAATAAAAGAAAGTTATATCTTAACCCGCGCGGGGCTGGGGGGGGGGGTAAATTTTACCCCCCCCCCCTCGCGAATTTTTGCAATATCTCAAATATATAATGAAACGAGGCCCTGGGCCTCGTTTCATAAAAGGAATTACTTACGGCGTTCCGTCAATTTGGCGTATTTGATGCCAATTCGGTTTCATAAAGCTGGAGACCGGAGTAATTCACACCATCGAAATTACGGAGCTTCATTTACGGCAAATTCTCGATTCCGGACCAATTGATGCCATTTGGGTTTCATAAAACGACGTAACTAACGCCAAATATTTTATCAAGTTCTTGATATGAGTGGTGTAAACTACGCACAAAAATGTTGCGTGAATATGAATTAATGTGAAGATTCGAAGCTAATTTTTAATATATTTTATAATGTTGAGCCCGGTGAGGAAGAAAGAACAGCCCAAATGAGAAAAAGAAACTGCAAATCTTCTGTACCAGTCGCTTTTTGTGGCCACTATCGGAATTTTGTTTATTCGCCGCGCCGCGCCGCTTTCGTAGTTAGACACTTCTGCTTAGCTGGCTTTCTGCTGTTTTCAATATATTGATTTAAAGGAAATAGTTCACTTTTAACATGGGGTTTTGAACTGGAATAGCAGTTTCGTAGCTTGAGCTGAGACTAGCACAAATCAGGAGCGTTTACGGCTCAACGATCACCCTAGACGAAGATATTGCATTTCTCGTTCCGAAAAGAGTGCCTTGCAGTCTGCAGAGGAATGCGTGCCTTGCACAGGAATGCAGCCACGTCATCGTCAGCCAATCAGCATGCTGCTTACAGCCTATGCAGTATGCGTAGGTTTGAATCACGCGATATGATTGGTCAACGCGCAATAAGCTTCCGCCTCAAACATTATTTTACATAGAATATAGTTCGTCCTATATTAAAATAAAGAAAATAATTGTTTTTACAAAAAGGTTTTACTTTCTTTCATGATCATTTTGAGCATAAAAAATCATAAATCAATAGCAAAATACTAATTTCAGGAAAGTGAACTGTTTCCTTTAATAAAGGATGGTCATCAGTATCATTTTTTTCATAAATAATTTTTTAAGATTTAAGTTCAACATTAATTGTTTTATAATTTCTCGCAAAAAATAAGTGTTGACATGAAATTGTAATTTGTAGGACGCTTGATAAATTACAGCAACTACGCAAATGTGCTTAGTTACGGAGGTGTAAACAATTCCAGTTGTGGTTTTGTGAAACGGCTTCATTTGCGCTCCGTAGTTTGAAAGGGTGTGAATTACGGAAAGGTGTAAGTTACGGCAGAGCTTTATGAAACGAGGCCCTGGTGTCAAATTGATGCAGCCTACTGAAAGTTTCGCGTCGATAGGTCTGGCGGCTTAGAAGTTATTGCAGAAAAACGAGAGGGGGGCGGGGGCTATGAATACCCCCCCTCACGTGGGGCGCGGGTTAACGAGCCACCACTGATGTGGCATAAGTAATTAGGTCCGTTGCACTTTTTAAAATGTAGCCAGCTCGTTCCTGAAATGTAACACCGTTCCGTAAGGGAGGGAGGAGAAGACCGAGCCCAACTGCCCAGCTATGGGTTTGGCAATGACTCGCCCCAAACACTGTGCTCTTGGCTTACCGCGTCGGCCGTCCTCCACCTCCTGTGGTCGCGCTCAATCATCTTTTTGTAGCTGTCCCCGTCCTCGTCCTCTTGGTCGTTCGAGTCGTCGGTGAAGCCGTAGACGGACTTTTTGTAGTCCTCCCACGTGATGTGGTCCTTGTCGTTAGTGGTGTGCGCCTGCCGCAACAGCAGAACAGAACGTTGTCGGAACTGACACTAGCTTTGTTATTCGAAACGGTGAACTAAAACCTGGTTGCGGAATACCACTCAAAAAGCATTACAGATTTAGCAATTCAGGTAAGCGTGCAGACTGCAGAGTATCTCCGTTGAAAAGTTTAGTCAGCATTTTCAATAGGAGGAATTTATCTATAAAACCAGTATAACGCCTTTTGGGGCGACTAACGGAGCGAGCGAGAGGGTGAGCCTTGCACGTGCGAAATTTCGAGGGGGTACGGCCCTCCAGGTATTAACCCTCGCCCATGTAGGGGGGGGGGGTTGGTGCACCCCTCCCCCCCCCCTGAGGTTTTTCTTAGCTACACGCCGAACCGTTTCAGATAGCCTGCTCAAATTTTCAGTACCCTATGGGGCATCCTTTGCGCAACTTTTGGTTTTTTTTGTCAAGGTCATGTCAGGTCACGGAGTTATGACGTCATAAAGGGAACAACCTCCGGCCAGATTTACGCTAAATTGGAGATTGCTTCACATTGGTATAAATGCCGACTGACCTGACACAGTGACGGATTGTTTTAGAATCATAACTGGCTGATTTGACATTGGCACAATGTCCGTTGACCTTTTCAAGGTTACTAAAGGTCAAGGTCAGGTCAGTGACCTCGGTTGACCTGTAATGACTTCTTGCACTTGTATGCCTTTTCGGGGTATTTTGATGCCCTGAATTCGAATTTGCTATCCATTTCAGGCATCGTCGGTTGTTTCTTGTTGTTCATTTTGGGTCAGGGTCAGGTCAGTGACGTCACACGCCTGACGTGACCCAATGCACAAATGACCTTGCAGACTTCCGATGCTCCCAACGCATCATTTTTTTTTAGTTATGACATCGAAATACACACCAAACGATAGAGAATTGATCAAGGATCACGATAGTGAAGGTTTCAAGTCGATATCTCTTACCGTTTTGCCGCAATCGGCGCGGAGATCTGAAAAAGTTAGATTTTTCCGAAAATTTGACCTTTCACCGGTCATACGTAGGTCAAATGTTGACCTAGGACCAAAAAAATATACCACCAATCGCGAGATCTCGTTGAGAGCAATCCGTTGCTCTTTTCCGCTAAGCTCTACGACGCTCCGTTTTCAAACACCAGGGGGGTCGCACCAACCCCCCCCCCTGCATGGGCGAAGGTGGCAAAACACCGTTTACGGGCGAGGGTTAACCCTCGCCCTGGCAGGGCATTTTTCATAACACGGCCTGGCAGGGGGGGGGGTCAATACGACCCCCCCCCCCCTCGCGATTGGCTCCTATGGCACCTAGAAACACCAAATTCGGTAGGTAGGTGGGCCCCCCTGGAGTTCTCGCCCCTGTGCAAATTTGGTTGCTCTAGGTCAATATTTAGGGGGGTTTTGGGGGTATAAATGTAAAAATTTCGCTAAAAACAGGTCAAAAGTTTTTCGCTTATAACTTTTGATCTAATTAAGATAGAGCAAAAAGAAAAGCACCAGTGAACTCAGCACGTCAAGGCGCGTCGAATGATATACGTTTTAGCTTGCTTAAGTGTACTTAAAGTTTTCCTTAAATTTTAAGTAAACTTAAATTAATAAATTAAGTTAAAGTTGACCAAATTGCATCATATCGCATATCATTCGATTCGGCTGATCACCAGGAACACAATGGTACCATTTTTAAGCTCTAGCGTCATTATGTGCCAAGTTATTGGCAAAAACGTCATTTGACCTCAGTTGACCTCATTTGACCTGACCCATGGATAAGTACACCAAACAAAGAAGCACCAAGTGACCTGCTGTTGAGTACTGTGGTTTCAAAGCACAAAAGTGATAGAACGAAGCGGATATCTCCAGTATTTTCCGAATTTAGTATTTTCCCATAGGCTTAACATTACGACGTAATGACCTCTAACTGACCTCAGGTCAGTGACCTCAAACCCGAACTATATGTTATACAACTCGGTGAAATTAGCACATCCTGAAAGTTTGAAGGAAATCAGTACAAAACTGTGAGTTGGACAGGTGCAAAAAGAAATTTGAAATTTGACCATGACCTTGTACCGGTTTTTCTGACCTGGTGACCTGACCTAAGGTCACACGGACCTGAAATTTTCAGGTCATATGTAAAAAGGTTGCCCCATAGGCTGTGCCAAATTTGGCGGCGCTGCGCGCCGCCGTTTTTACGCTATCTTCGAAAAACCTTAGGGGGGGGTCGCATCGACCCCCCCCCCTGCCAGGGCGAGGGTTAAGTGGTTGGTTGCCAACATCACAATAATCGATCTGCATTGATGAATACGTCTAATGGCTGTTGAAAACCACTGCCGAGATGTGTGCACGAACCCTCTTCTCATTTGTATTGAGTCATTTTACAGGAGTGTCTCTGTCATTTGAAGTTATTACACCAAAAGCACATAGGCTAACCAACCACTCTTTTGCTGGAGGGCCGTACCTCCAACTGACTTGTGCACGGCACCCTACCGGTCTCTAGCGATGTGCCAAATTTGAACGCAATCGGCCTAGTCGTTCTCGAGATCTGGGAGCGGCACCCTGCACGTGCGCACGTGCAAAATGGGTCCCAACTGACTTTTGCACGGCACCCTACTAACCGGTCCCTAACCATGTTCCAAATTTCAGCGCAATCGGTTCAGCCGTTCTCGAGATCTGGAATCGACCCCTGCACGTGCGCACGTGCAGCAGCACCCCAGCTGTGACACAGATATGCATGGCCTGGTGGGTGCCTACCTACATGCTAACTTTCAGCGCAATCGGCCCAGTAGTTACCGAGATATTGCAATTGTTACAAAGGCGACACCTCTTCGTTTTGCACGTGGCACGTGCATAAAGTGTTACCCACGTCCCACACGCATCGGGAATAGTCCAATATTTGGTAGAAGGAATGAAGGTGTCCTACAAAAATTGCCGCGTGTAAATCGGTCAAGGAGTTGCTGAGATATAAGCCTCGTAAAAGCGTCCCGAACGGTCGGCCGGCCGCTCATACTCAAATTTCCGTTAATCTATGGAAAGACTACGCTCGCTTCGCTCGCTCCGTAAAAACTGGTACCATCCACTACGCCTCGTGAAAACCAGCACGCTCGTTTGTATAAAAAAGATCCCTATCAATAAGGGGCATAACGGCAAAGAATAGTGCATAAAATCACAATTCATCCTCTTAAAGGTAGTGTGCCACCTTTGAAAGATTTCCCATTTTATTTTTCCTAGGATAAGAAGCTTCTGTTTTTACCTAATATCGCAAAAAAATCAAAAATGGGCCTGGAATAGTGCCTTTTTCGCCTAAAAGTTTATCGGTTTTTCGATATGTATAACAACTGTAGTGGGCTCACCTGCAAACAGGCGTCGGCAACAATCGCGAATGCGGCGCACATGTGACAATAAGCAAAGGTCATTATAGAGTTACGACGTACGGGAATGAGTTATCAGCTGTCTAATCGTAGACAACACAATGTCGAGCCTGAAACGGTAAGCCTGTATTGGTATTGTTTCTTTTATTTGGCTGTCGAACATTATTTATGGTTTGAAATATGATTTTATGTAAAATAATTGATATGAAAAAGCCGTCTCTTAACCCTCGCATGTGTAGGGGGGGGGGGGTCGGATGGACCCCCCCCCCATGGTTTTTCGCGAATAACTCGCGTAAAAAGCGGCCGATCGCGACGAAACTTTCAGTACCCTCGCATTGATCAATTTTACACCTACCCTGAAAATTTCATGACCCTGACCCTAATGACCTTTGACCTGTGACCTCTTTTCCGAGACCATGTTTGGCCGGAATCGCGATTTCGCGTATGTCGGCTCGCACTAGCCGCGTGTTTGCAAGCTTTTCGTGGTTTCAAACGTTCCAACATGTGATTTGATGTTACTCCCGTGTGTGTCAAGGTCACCTGAAGGTCAGGTCAGGTCATTGACCTTTGGTGACCTCGGGTGACCTCGGGTCACTTTTTCAAGTTTTACATGTTTCTAGGCTAGTTTTTGGAGCTGAATTCGAATTTAGCAACCATTTGAACATTTACGAAGTAGTTTTGGTGACTTCGTAACATGTTACGAAGCTGTCAGAGGCGGTTGACACGTACTACGAATACCCGTCACGACGCCTACTAGTTGGCCTGACCTGACCTGACCCGACCTGGTCTAAATGCTTCAAGACATCATCTGTGATCAAAACTAACACGATATTCGTGATCAGCACCCCGAAAAACCCCTTAGCAGCCACACTTTACGACTTTCTAACAGGTCCCGATTTTCCCGACTTTGGGTCATTGACCTGACCTGGAAGGTCAACCAATGACCTAGGACCTTAAAATTGGGTATCATCGGCTTCCGCTCGTCACGGGCAACACGCTCGTTTTTTCCGCGAAGCTCTAGCTCGATCAGGGGCCAAACGGCAAGGGGGGGTCCACCGACCCCCCCCCTACACATTAGAAGCTGGCAAACGCCGCACACATGCGAGGGTTAAGTTATGACCCCATTTCACCACACGCAAGTGGCAGAAATGACAATGATCAGCTGACGCATTTTTCTTGGCCGAAGTCAGAGCGCGCGGCCCGACGGACCACGTCGGTTGGACCCCCCCTTGCCGTTTGGCCCCTGATCGAGCTAGAGCTTCGCGGAAAAAACGAGCGTGTTGCCCGTGACGAGCGGAAGCCGATGATACCCAATTTTAAGGTCCTAGGTCATTGGTTGACCTTCCAGGTCAGGTCAATGACCCAAAGTCGGGAAAATCGGGACCTGTTAGAAAGTCGTAAAGTGTGGCTGCTAAGGGGTTTTTCGGGGTGCTGATCACGAATATCGTGTTAGTTTTGATCACAGATGATGTCTTGAAGCATTTAGACCAGGTCGGGTCAGGTCAGGTCAGGCCAACTAGTAGGCGTCGTGACGAGTATTCGTAGTACGTGTCAACCGCCTCTGACAGCTTCGTAACATGTTACGAAGTCACCAAAACTACTTCGTAAATGTTCAAATGGTTGCTAAATTCGAATTCA